CTGCTGTCTCATGCTACCCTCCAGCTCTGTGCTCAAGTCCTAGACATGAAAGTAGAATTGTTCCTCAGTAATCAGGAGCCAACAGCCATTTTGGTAATATGCAAGGCCTGTAATGCTTAGGCTCATTCTCCTCCAGCTTTAAGGCCCCTTTTTATTTTTTTTAAGCAGACTGTGATTATTATAATTTGTAAGTGAATGGAGCGGTGCCCTATACATCCAGAAAATGCAGAGTCCAAAGGAAAGGCCAGAAAAAGTCATAGATTCACACAATCCAAGGTCAGGACTTTTGACAGTGGCCAATAGCAAAGTTAGAAGAGGATGCTGCAGAAGACCACCAAAATGAGGTATCTGTCTGCTTTCTTAGGAGGGAGGAACTCTTATCTAAATTCCTTGTAGGTAGGTAATGTCGTCACCACCACAGAATTGAGTCAAGCTGGCTTAGGAGGAGGGCATGAATCATCCCCATGAGCTGACAAGGGAAACAAAAAACCAACCCTGAAAACAAAAGCACATGTACTCCTAGCCTAATGGAAGAGTGTATTCAACTATGGATAATTCATTCCTCCCCCATCTCTTATTAGCTATAACCTGGTTACTGCTTTCACTTGAGATGGCAGCTTTTTCATTCTAAGAGACGGAGACTACATCATTCAAACTCTAGCCGTGGATTTGGAAGACTACACTGCAGAAAGCAAACAAATTCTACAATTTACTGGGAAAGAATCACAGAACAGCTCATCTTTCTGCAGCACAATGAACTGTAATAGTTACCTAGCACGCACACAGACAGAAACAACTGTAATGACCTCCACAGGTTAAAAAAATATCTCCATCAGCTTTAACAGCAATGCTTTTAACATGTCTGTGAATGCTGAAGCAATCCTGTCTCAGTATTCCACATACTTGCACTGCATTACTTTAGGTTCACCTCTCTAAGTCTGGACAGTGGCTGAGTGAAATTTGAGCACAGATCTGTTAACTTTCAAAAACACAAAGAATTTTTTTGTTTGTTTGGGGTTTTTTTGCATCCAAGAAAAGGAAGTTTCTTTTAAATGATAAACAAAACTCACCCCCAAGACCCCAAATCTTTCACAAAAGTTCCAACCACAGAGAAAGTCAATTTCAAAGTTGTGATTAAGGATTACGATGGCATTCTCCTTCCCATACTTGTGGTAACTCTCTGGGTCAGTGTAGAGGGTGCAATCGGTGCCTGACCACCATTCCAGCAACATCACCATCTCTGGAATAAATAATAAGAAATAAATGAATGTATGTAGTATATGCAAAGCCACAAATTAGTAACATGTTGAAAAGCATCAGTCACCTCAACAGCACAGAGCAAAAAAAAGTCTGTAATGAAGCTGAAATGCTGAACAGAAACCACACAGTCACACATCTTGGTATGGCAAGGTAGGGGGAAGAGTAGAGAAGGGAAATAAGATTGCATGGAAAGAGGGAGCACAAATTTTCCACAGTGATACTGAGAAAAAGGAGTTTTAATTTATTTGAAATCTGCAAAGTCAGTGCTACAAGTTATTGCATCAAAATACATGTAAAATTAGTATTTATGGTTTATAACAAAATCACTTGAAGAACAGAACAAGTTTGTAGGAGAAACAAACACACCTATTCCTGCCACATACAGGTCCTCATGCTCCTCTAAAAACAATTATAGACCAGAAAGTAGTTTGGACAAGACATCTGAAACCAGGTCTGTTTCATGGACACTTCATGCATCATCCTGTTAACTCATCAGAAGTAACAGTCATATGCCCTGCTACCACTGATGCAGTCTACATTTGACAGGGGTGTATCAATCATCCAGAGCAAAGCCAATAGCTCAGACTGTGTCAAGAACATCCATTCGTAGACAAGATGGGTGGCTAGCAAAGCATGCAGAGACAAGAATACTTAATAGTATAACTATCTGCACATCCCTTAGTTGACGAACTAATGAAGCAAACGGG